CACTAAGATAAAAGGCTAGTGACCATAATTTCTCTGCAATGGAAAAAGTAAGATTTGTGATAGGCGTTAAGCAATCTCCTTTTGGTGGAAAGGAAATGTTTTTACCCCTTTATACTTCCATTGTTTTTATCCCTAAAATATCCAGTTTCTATATGCATATATGAACTCTACTTATGTTTATTGGTTATGTACTCAACATATACACAAAGATATTTGTCTGTTGAGATACAATTACCTCATTGTTGGTTTATAGTAACACCCGGCACGATTTTGTTGCATGTAACTTTTTGAGTAGCTTGAAAAATTCAACCTAACTTTGTATCCTGTAAGTAGGCTTGACGTTAACATCTTTATTCACTCTAGTGATATTTCAAACTAACAGATTCATGTACTGCAAGATTGTAAGTGTTCTGCAATAACAGAAAATACACATTTGTTTATATCAGATATAAACCATTGCAATCTCATTTCTGTCCTGGCAAAATGTTGTGTCAGTTTCTACATCATCCAGAAGTCTAATTGATTTGTATTGGTACATTATCATAACCATTACAGCTAAAAGCTTAAACATAGACCACAAACACACAGTCAACAAGTTCTGAAAACTACATAAATTTGTTTACCCTGACAAATTTCATAAAGTTCAGTTGAGGTACTGATTCAGATTCCTCTCTGATCCACGCAAAATAAATGTAACAACAAAAATAATACACAGCCACAGCAGAGTCTGCAGGCAGGACTACGTGTATTAAATGCAGCTGGTCACAAGATCGCTCATCATGAGGGTGAGAGCAGCAATACTGCGGCACAGGGGATACGCAAGGTCCAGCCTGCCATGGTGAGGAGGGACCGAGTGGATCTGGAGGTCCAGACTGGCTTCCTGGTGAAGCAGGCTTCAGCATGTGCACTTAAGTGACAGGGTGACAGTGCCATGGATAGGCAACCTTCCATCCTTCCCTGTTTCACGTGTCCTCTCTTGAGAGAGTTGATATTTCTGCAGCTGCAGAAAATATAGAGCCAATTAAGCTGCTGGGAATTTTGCTCTCCCCTCTAATGGGGCCAGGCTTTCACCTCAAATACTCTGAAAGTTGATGGCAACCCACCTCGCTTTTAGAAATGTTTTATGGCACAAATTTCAGGCTGATCGGTTTCATTGCTTTGATATAAATAATGGAACCAAGCCTGATTGTTCTGAAAACCTGTGTGGACAAGGCAGGAAGTGCATAGCTTGTACAGTTGTCTTCACACCAGTGAAATGAAAACTGTTTCGGTGCCAATCTTCCAGCAGAGCTTATACTGAGAATTACACAAACTTGTGAATTTCTTTACCCCAACATTATTTATGACCAAGTTGTTTCAAATAAGCCTAGTTTCCTTCTACAAGTTTAGCTTTTGCCAGATAAATCAACAGTATATTATGGGTACTAAAATATGTTTTCCAAGCCTAATCCTCAATACTTTCAAAATTGCAGCCCTTAGCACTGAATGCTTAAAAAAAAAAAAAACACCCTTTACATGCCAGAATGCCCCAATCCTGCTCCCCATACTGTTAAAATAAGCAAAAGCTGGTGCCTTTCCCCGTGCCATGGTGTGGCAATGCTTCTCCCTACGTCCTTACGGAGTGGAAATACGCCAGGAATATCTGGCACTCTGCTCTGCCGGGTCTGACTGGTCCAGCAGCGCAGCCCTCCGTGTGCGCGGCAGGGTTTTGTCAGGGGTGCTGTGACGCCGCGGACAGAGGGCTGCGAGGGCAGCTTCTTGGTGACAGCAGTGCTGCTCCTAGGACGTACAACACGCCGTGCTACAAGCTGCTCCGTATGATCTGGGAGAGTTGTAGATCACCACGCTGCTTCTCACTCTCCGAGTTCACCAGGCCAGAAATGAAATCTTCTTTGTTCTACCGCCATCTTAAGCCTTTCTTTTTTTAGCCCTTGTTTGTTCGTTTGTTTGTGAACTACCATTTTCTTTATTTCTGCGAGGAGAGACTTGCAACATTGGATGTACATGCATTACCAAGCTAAAAATGAAAAGTATATGCTGGTGAAATTTTTTTGGAAAAGAGCTGATAGTCTTTTTAAAATTCTTTCTACCGCCAGCCCTCAAATCAAAACTCGTTGTGTTTGGGCGTATTCCTATTGCCGTATATTCACAAGGAGAAAATATGTAGAGGTCAGCAGTTTCAAAGGCACTCTCTAATTTTAGGTTCTTAGCTTCCGATATTTTAGGACAAAGCTTGGTACACAACAAAAGAAGTGTTAAGGAACTATAAATCTGGATGAAGTAAGTAACACCTGAGATATCTTAAGCCGAGGACCTAAAACCAGATACTGTGCTCTTAAGAAAAAAGGAAAAAAAAAAGAGAAAGAAAGAAAAAGAAAAAAAAAGAGAGAGACAAAAAGGAAGAAAAACTCTTAGCATTTGCCAGAAAACAGGTTTTTTGTTTTTTTTTTTAGTTCTTGAGGTTTCTGTTCTTCCCTATTTTTTTTCCCCGCTATTCCTATTTTCATATTGCCGTTACGGGCAACTCTGAAATTCTCCTACCGATCAGAGGCTTACTAAAATCAGGAGAAAGATCTTGCCCGTTCTCTTCATGTGCATCTGATCATCCTAACATTGCCTGGTATGTGCAATATCTATTTTTTTTAAATTAAAAAGTTCACCTTGGAACATTTTTATTTCAATGAATTTATTCTTCTAAATATTTTAAGTAGTTGTGTGTTATGATATCTTTTAAGTTTAAATATATATATATATACAAGTTTTAAATTTATAAGCAAAATACCCCTTTAAATTCAAAAGAGGGAACCCTTACAATTTGCTAGGAATCACTTTTCCATCTTCAGGTTAAAAGTCAAGGATGAATTCAGTCAGCCTTGTCTCTAGAACAGACAAGTAGAGGGATGTATGTGCATGTGCCAGTCGGGATACAGTAACTTTAGGGAGCCTTCAGAAGTCATGAACTAGATAAGATTCTGAAATGCTTAACTTTCATATCATTGACTTACATTTGTTTATCTTCAGAGCAAGCAGTGATATACATAAGTCTTGTTTCTGGGTAAAACCTTGGTCCAAAGCAGTGGTGTCAGTTTATGGTTTTGCACTGTGGCAAATTGAGGGTTGCTCATATTGATTCACAGGAAGTAACTAATAAAAGCATATTAAGGAAGTTTAAATTTACAGTACCACAGATGTCTGTGTATTTATATGTATACACAAATATACCTGTCATGATAAATAATACTGTCCTCCACTAAGTAAGAAAGTCATATTTTATGATTTTATGAAGTTTAGAAGAAGATTCTGGTATGTTTTTTGTACAAAGAAATCATGCAAGCAGGTCATTTTTCAAGCCCCTCCTCTATAGTAGATAAATCTGCAAACAGCAAAGTTTGTATCCTCAGACTTTTTTCGCAAGACCCACAGAGAATCTTTTCAGAAACGATCATATTACACCAAAACGCGAGCCCGTCTGCTTAGTTCTGCCAGTTAATTCGATCCACAAATCCTGTCAACAAGGCAATCCTGAAAAAAACAGGTGCAAGGGCTCTAAAGTCCTTGTTTGAAACGTAGCACAGAACACAACCGAAATTGATATATGAAAATAGAGTGTTAAAGAGCATGTGCTTTTAATTAACACCACTGACAAAGGTGAGCAATGGGAACCAAAGCAAGCACTTTGTCACTGCAAATACATGGTGTGTTGCATGGGTTTGGGCTGCTGGTGGAGAGCATTTCTTTTTTTTCCCCTCCCAGTTAAGGTACACTTTGGAATCTGAGCAAAACACGAACCTTCTTATTCAAGAAAGAAGTAAATCAGCTCTTTTGTGTCTGCTGGTAAGCGTGATGCGATGGAGGTTTCTGAGCGCCAGGGCTGTACTTTGGAGACAGCTGGAGGAGGTGCCTTTTCCTACCGGTGCTACAGCGTGTGAACCCCTGGCTCATCCTTGGCCCTTGCGGATCCGTCATGGAGCATTCCCTGCAGGCGAGCCCGCTCCAGCCTCCTCAGCTCAGGATGCTGCCCTACACGTGGCGTTGCCTGTCCACGCAGTGCTACCTATTTAAGACAGTGCTGTGAGGACAAGCATGGGGTGAGACCTCCCCCTTGGCATCTCCAAGGGAAGGGAGCTAAGGAGGCCACCTAGGCTGGCAACCTCTTCCCTGTCCCCATCATGGCCCCATCACTGCAGGGCAACCCTGATAGCATGAGATGGGCACCCAGGCTCCGGGAAGTGCTCCAATGGGGCTGAGGAAGCCGGTCACTGAGGGTGGTGAGCAGCTCCGCTGCCACTGCTGCTTTTTGGACAACATCATCCCCACTCTAGCTGGTGTCTGGGGTGTCTCTTGCCATTGCACAGGTCAGGCCCCTGAAGGGGTGAGTGAGTGCAGGGACAGGCCAGGGCTTTTGGAGAGAGGGATGCATGGGCTGAAGGAAGCTGCCTCAGAGGTGCTGCCATCTTCTCTGGCACCTCCTGTTGGTGGATGCCGACATATTTTCAGGCACCTCGTGGGGCGCTCCCACCCCTGGGGCTGAGGGAAGCTGCCCCGGGGGTGCCGCCATGTCCTCAGGATGTGGGAGCGTCCTTGTCTGCTGGACAGAGGGAAGCTGCCCGGGGGGCGCCGCCATCTCCTCGGGCGCCTCACGGGGCGCTCCCACCCGCGGGGCAGAGGGAAACAGCTCCCGGGGCGCCGCCATCTTCTCGCCTCGGGCCGCTGCGCGCTCGGCGGAGCCGCTCGAGG